GTGCTTAGATGAAGTGAATATGCGGCTTCGTAATGTGATATGACATTGGTGCTTTTTGTCGATAACCTCAAATTTGTAGCTCAGCATCGTGTTCAGCTTCTATTCATGCCTTGGTTTCTCATAAATGCTTTTGTTTCTGTTGGACCTTTAGATATCACATTATCATTTTGTGTGTGTGATCTATATTATCAATATGATTGCTACCTTTATTGCACGAATTGTGCTTTTGCAAGTAATGACCATAATGTTTCTTAAATTGCTTTGAATATATGTGTTACAATTATCCCTATTTCTTTTTCCATCAGGCTCATCCAGAAGAATTGGGATCATTGGTAGAAATTCTAAAAAGTGGGATGGTAACAAGTTCTTCGGGATCTCAATACCGACTTCAAGATGATGCTAAATGTGATGCTTTTGGAGCCTTATGGCGCATTCTAGGATCTAATAGTTCAGCTCAGAGGGTCTTTGGTGAAGCAACTGGATTTTCTCTTCTGCTAACGACCCTCCATTGTTTTCAGAACGATGGAGAACAGAAAAATCAATCTTCTATAATTGTACGCATTAAGGTGTTTACGTATTTGTTGCGTGTAATGACGGCAGGGGTTTGTGCCAGTGTTGCTAACAGGACAAAGTTGCATACTATCATATCTTCCCAAACCTTTTATGATCTTCTCACAGATTCTGGTTTGATTTGTGTTGAATGTGAGCGACAAGTCATACAATTGCTGCTGGAACTTGCTTTAGAAATGGTAATTCCCCCATTCCTCACATCAGACCTGGCTACAATATCTGATGATGCTGAAAATGAATCAGCTAATTTTCTTCTTATCACACCTGCGGGTTCTCTCATTCCTGATAAAGAACGGATTTACAATTCTGCTGCTGTGAGAGTGCTCATACGTGGTTTACTGCTATTTACTCCAAAGGTGCAATTAGAATTGCTTAACCTTATTGAAAAGCTGGCTCGTGCTAGCTCCTTCAATCAGGAAAACCTTACTTCTGTAGGTACGAATCTGCAAATTTAGTTTCTTCTTTTTTTCTAATATCAACAGCGTCTTGAGGAACTTTTGCTTGAACTTTTTAGGTTGTGTGGAACTTTTACTGGAGACAATACGCCCCTTCATGTCGAGCTCTTCGCCACTAGTATCTCATATTTTGAAGATTGTGGAAATTCTTGGGGCATATAGGTAACAATGGCTTATTGTCTGATACATTTTTTCAGGACTAGAATTCATTGCTTAAT